CAATTACAAAAATCAAATACAATTTAAAAATCAATCTATATGCGGAGATGTAAATATGGCTACAGTTAGTAGAGATGGTTAAATTAAACGTTTAATTCATTCAACTGACATAGTCAACTCCAACAATATCCAGATAATGGATCATTCATCTATTTACATGACACGAATCACAAATAATTATAAATTGTATATGTGTGTGCATTTTATGACAGCTGGCTGCCGTTTGTCAGTGGTTTTGATGTTTTGTTCGTCAGCGTAGTCAATCCATTCCAATTATTTTTTATGCACGAATATAATACAAATTCACCATGTGTTGTTGTTCGATCCTGTCTCTAAGTGACACCATCAGCAATTAAGTGACACGTGTGCTTTACAATGAACTAGGGTAACAGCAACGGGTATTAAAGGAAAATAGTAGTGTCATAATATCATTATCGACAAGGAGCGACGACTACATTACTTGGTAAGTGAGAGAAACGTAAATGTATTTTACGTAATATTGTCGACGTCTTTATATATCCTTCATAACACATAGTATCATTGTTATATGTAAGATACATGTTATATCCTTACATTATAAGATCTTAATCGTATTATACACTAAGTAACAGAGTGTGGACGTTTTTACAGGATGTTATCAATTTTTAAAAACATTGGTATTTGTATGATATGCGATAAAAATTCTAATTTGAAATCACATGCATAACAAACGTGTTTCGCCTTTTACTAGTGTTTGCGTTTTCTATTCGTATTCGATCTGTTTCAAGCGTGCACTTTGTTCTGTAACGCGATTGGCTTGATTCACGTACACGCGGAATGGGATCTCCGACGCATGGCACCGATATCTTACATACATAAACTTATATTGTGCATTCTTCGTACTATATGCTCATTGCATACGTAATGGTTATATTCGTTCCTAACTGATACGAACGGATCGTTAGTTTCACAAATCGTTTATTGCAATTCGGCATTAGCACAATCTATCAAAAAATATACACGCGAGGTTGATTAAGTCGCAACTACCACAGCTTGTTTGTACGTTGAAAATGACGTAATGAATGTGAATCAATTCAAGTGATTAACCACAATACCATTACAGTTATATATAATAATGGACTATGATTTGTGATTTCACATTATTTACTTTTAATATATCGTTTCATAATGACAGGGCTTACAAATAGCACCATGAATTTCATACGTGCATTGATGGCAGTTGCTATGGTATGGTTAAATGTTTTTGCTGAGGATCTCTTAGAGGTGAGTAAAAAACAATCGTCTTTTGCTATCTGCGCATCTGTGCTAGGGTGTGTTCGATGACCCTGTCACGGACAATGAATATGGGAATATTTGATATTTCAGAAGAGAATTTCTTTCGATGGTGCATAACCCTGAACTACGGTTAATTTGCAAAACTACAAAATGGTCCATGGCACGTTCAGTAATCTGAGCAATTCAATAAGTACCATGAGACATTCAAATCGTTATTCGAATAGCCCGTAATTCAGAGACCCTGTCCGCTGTGACTGGATTTCTTATTTCAAACAATCGGTCATCTTCTACAATATGAATAAATGATTCAACAGCAGATTTTTGACCATGGCTAAGTTGCAAATTCAAATCAAATCACATAAAACAACGTAGGTTTACAAGTTTATGATATCTGCAAAATGAGTTCATTTAATATTACTATATTTTTATTTCATAATATGCAGACAGAACATTCAAAAAATATCGGTAGATTATATTTAAAGTCAAAGGTTTAATAAAAATGAATACAAAGTAAAGTAGAACATTGTAATGATTTGCTTTCTTTGCCGAATATACTTCGTATGTTACTGCGACTTTTGAATGTAATCGTACAATATTTTCTACACCTTGATTTTCCCACAGGAACCCGGAACCAGGATTGTCAAATAAATTCTTTGATTCCGTATCTCATATGCGTCCCCCTTGGTCATGCTTTTGCTGAAGTTGCATATCATAAGCTTTCTTTGTTAGTCGCTCGTCCCCTAAACCCCTAAGACTGCTACAATCTCCCCTAAACCATGCACGACGTAGAATATTGTTTTGGACTTACCAGGAACACTTACATGACAAAACTTATCCTAAGTATCTGTAAGCTCGACAGTTACGGCACATTTCCAAAGCACTGCGTTGTGTTCCCTAATGCCGTACACATCATTCGTGTTAGATAGTTTACGTTCATTTCCACTTACAGGCAAACAGCATGTCAATATTACGTTTTAAATTGATAACAGTATTTTTCATAAGGACAAATGTCATCGGTATACAAAAGGGCAAATAGTTCAAACAAATCTGTTGATAGTATGGAACTCTATTCTTCTAATCGCCGAATCTCTTTATAAAAAATGAAAATCAAATGGGACTCATCACACATACTAGTTTTACACCTCTCCACGGACACTTCGCCGACACTGACACAGGAATTTACATCGCTATACATATTTAGTAAACTATTATACATTTTTCCTTTGATCCCGTCCACATTTAAGTATATCAGACAATTTCTGTCCACGAAAAGCTTTCCGACAATTCACATACACACAATGCAACGTTCCACCTTTGGGCATTAAACAACTCGTGATCAATCGTGGAGTGTTCCTCTCTGAAACCTTCCCGGACTTCTTGAAGTCTGTATGTATCCTTGACAGTAAATACATTCTTTCAGTCAGACTTACCACATATTACTTACATCCTAATTATGTTTTCTATCTTTGTAGGCAAACGAAGCAGGAGACGGTTAGTACCTTTTGCCTTTACTGACTAACTTTCCAATAAATAAGTTTGTGAACAACTGTTGAATGTCATAGTATGTAGATACTTAACATCCAATTGGGGAAAACCGAAAAACAAAATCTTTGTTAAACTCTCTAGAGTCTGAAATAATTTGTTGCAGTAGTATTCATCACATCTTAATAATACTGTATTTAAAACAAAACGATTGTCTGTACTTGCGCTTGTGTGTCGTCTTTGAATAATGTTTTGAATATAATTATTGCCATATTTATATATGAGATATTTCCCTGATGAATTGCAGCTAAAATTATATAAAGAAAATGGTCGTCCATTTTATCACAGCATGAGGATAGGTTTTCCGTAACTGAATCTGTCTCTGTGAAAACAAAGCTAACATATGAATGTGATCTAACGTTCAAGGCTCAACATAGACTTAGTAACATAAAAAAATAGTAATTTTCCAAAGAAAAATCAGAACCATTAATTCGAATTAGTTTCTTTCTTTCTACATTACATTCTAATTTGTTTTACGTAGAAGCGTGTGATACCACAACCAATGTCTGCTTTAAATTCTTCCATGAATCACGAGAAGAGTGGAATGTAGCTAGAGATATATGTGACGACGATGGAGGACAACTACTCGTCATCGATTCATTTCCCCTTCACAAGAAGATCAGACAATACATCAATTCACATCCTAGTATTAAGAGTCCCGTGGGAAATGGATATTGGACTGGTGCAAATGATATACAAGAAGAGGGCGTGTTTCAAATTAACGACTGTACTCCATTAACATACCGCGATGGGTGGCATTCCGAAAAACGTGGAAAAAAAAGAATAACACAGCCTAGTAACACAGTGAAACAGGACATCAATGGACAGGACTGTGTCCAGATATGGTAAATTTGTTGCTAAATTTAAGAAACTGACTTATTATACCATCCGATCCATTTCGAATAAAAAATGATTATTAGCCAGGTTAGCTGCAAATCGTAGATTTTTTAGATTATAGCATTTTGACACTGAATATGTTTTACCAGGGAACGTCCACAGAAAAACGCAGTATGGAAATTTGACGATGACTATTGCTGGAAGCGTAAATCGTTTATTTGCGAATATAAAGGTGAGTGACTTTTACTGGAGTCAACAACCACAAGCTAATCTAATCTAATCTTATTGGTATGATGTCATCATAATTTACGTTATAAGTACTAATTGTTATAGGCTTTTTACTATGATAATCAACACAATGTTTTGTTATACTTGTTTTTAGCTCTGCAATGCGAAATTGGGTTTTATGAACACGAGGGAGAATGCAAACGTAAGTAGGTGATTTTATTAACATATACGGACTTAAGAAGTCATTTAAAACTTAATAACAAGAATAGGCAAATTTAACTTGCGGTTTATTTTGCTCATATTCACAGCTACGGTGTCGTATTTCGTAACGTTTATATTTACGGCAGTAAATGGCGAGACGGTCACCTTCAGTGATGTTTACGTCGACCCAACATCGAACGAATATCTCACTCTTTTGGAGTTGGTTAGTGGCTGGGTAAGTAGTCACGAAATATAACTGTGTCAGGAGTCTATAATGTGTTATCTAACAAAAAGGTCTTGGCAGTCTTCTAATCGAAATTATAATAGGTATTATTATACATTTGTCACCGTAACGTCATAAGTTACAGCGTGCCGTAATTTTGCGGTATTTTACGGGGTATTTTCATCCTACAAGATAAGGAAATACGAATTCCAAATAAGGAATGGTTACGCGCGTAAGCGTTTTCTAATAACAAAAACAAACATGGCTGCCACTGGGGTTTGACCGGACTACACACAAATAAGTTCCCTGATTCTGTTCTAAACTTTAGGATTTCGGCATTCCCATGATGTGTCTTTGGAAGGAAAGGACTTATAATAATAAGGTTATTAGAGGAAACTTCAAAGTGTGCACTCAGACAGTACACCGTCGCATCGACCTCTGCTGCGCGTCGGCCGATACTACCACTGTACTGTCTTCGTGCGTAATTTGAGGTATCCTCGTATAACCTCAAAATAAATACCAATCTAAAATAATTCACGGTCAATAAATATTACAGAACAACACTTGACATTTCTTGAGATATAGGGCGCCTTCGTGTTTATTTTAACATCGATGTCAGTGAATAATTGACACCTCAATACGTGTCATTGCCAGGTGATTTACAAACATTTTGCTTAGTTGTTTTTTTCGATCCAGGTTTTCGATGCTTTAAATGCTGCACAGTCGTAAAATGTACATTAGCAAATCATGTTGCGCGCCAAGGGCCGGAAAAATTTCAGAAGGAACTATTTTATCTCATTTGCATATTTTTGCAGTCAATACCAATATGATAGAGCAGGCTTCAAACTATGAATACCGCAATACATATGATCATATGTAATAATGTGTATTAAATTACATTTACAGATGAACTCGATCCTAGAAAGTACAGATTTATATGGTGTTGAAATCCTTGGATTTTATCCTGGTAGTATCGGCGTCGATACAGTTATTAATTTTGACCAAACTACAGCTACAACAATGAACAACGTTCAGGAAACACTGACTACTTCAGCCGCCGCTGGTCCTCTTGCAATAATTCAATCAACCATCGTCGTAACAGATGAGCGCGTACCGTGGCGGGTGGACGGTCGTTGTGGATCAATTTTCAGAGGAACAAATGGGGTCAGCCCAGCTGAATGTGATCCTTATAGTACCACACCTTGTTGCTCTTCGTCAAGATTATGCGGCATTTCACCAGATCACTGTGATTGCGATGGATGTATAGACTATCGGGATGTGTATGGAGGTAAACATATAGGCAGTAGTTTACTTTCTCATTTCTTCCAAATATTTCTTTTGCAGGTATCGGGAATTGTTGATCAATCTATTACACAATATACCTCAAGTATACAAAAGCATGCTTCGATATGTTAATCTACTTCCTGATGTACACATACATCAACAGTAAAATGTTCAACCAACTTACGAACAATTTCAACCAACTTCTAAGCAAGACGGCCGCCCAGCGGAAATATAGGTTTATATTACATTATGTGGAAACAAATTTAGTTAAACACAATGTAGTATGTACCTTAACTATGTAGTTGTCAGTGTTATGTATGATAGTTGTAATTAATGTAATGTTAGTCAACAGTTCAATAATTCGATATTTTATATTTGGAATGATCGTGAATTCAGGGTTTATCTTCTAGTCGAAGTTGTGACAGGTGATGACAATAACTTACTTAACCCAAGAAAGGCGCAGACGACAGCGTTCGATCACCACAAATTTTGTAATTTTTTTTGGCGAAAAATTTTAAAACTTTCATCTAAGTTTTGCGGACTTCACAATTTTAATGTGATTTTTGATTTGCGGATACATTAAACGAAATTACATTAACGGATGTGACTGATAACTTTTACTATAAAAACCTTAGCATCCCGTAGGCAGGCCAGTCACACTGGTTCTCACTACAAGAGGTTACGATCCCCCCTGCCAAATGCCAAGGAAAACTGAAACATATATATACATATTTACATGAAATATTGTCCACCTATGCGGATCTGTTTGTGCAGGAATTTTACGACCGTATGCCTTTACTGACGTCAACCAAACTTGTTATGTGGGAAGTTGGCACCCAAGGCTTACAGGTACTACACCTTGCCCGAGGGTGACCTGGAGATAGCTGTGGCAAAGGGTAACCTGATTCTCCCAAGTCCATAGACTCCACAACCGGATGTAGTTTAAAATCTTACCCAGGACAAATATATACATATTTAAATAAACGTAAACGTTGCCTTTAATAGGTAATACCTCATATATGAGGTTTGAGTTGGTGCAAGGTTTTTATGACCGTGTGCCCTTACTGACGTCAACCAAACTTATTATGTGGGAAGTTGGCACCCAAGGCTGACAGGTACTACACCTTGCCCAAGGGTGACCTGGAGGTAGTTGTGGCAAAAGGTAACCTCATTCTCCCAGGTACAAAAAACTCCAAAACCGGGTGTAGTTTTAACGTCGTACCCAGGACATGTCCAATAAAGCTGAAAACCGACACGACTAAGTCGTGAGGCAAACCTGTAATAATTCGGGGAGGGCTGAAAAGCACCGCGTTCACCCGCGCGTTCAGTGTGTTGAGGAAAATGCCAAGAGGGTGGCAATTAAGTGTTTGTGTGTGTAGACTTATTTAATGTAGTGGATAGTGGTATTAATCATATGTGATTTATACATTTTAATGATGAAACATATAATAATGCAAATATTGCTATATGTACGTTTCTATCAACGATGCACATATGTAAGTTATATGTAAGTAAGCACATATGCAAGGGATCTATGGGATCTATTTAATTAATAGTTTATTTTATAATTCACGTTTGTAATGTGTGATGATGTGTGTAGTCGGAATTGGTTTCGTTAAATTTAGTTAAACACGTGTACAAATATATAATACATATATGGTTGTTCCAATTAACGTAGTGCTCGTCAACATTATATTGAATAGTATCCATTTGCGTTTTTTGTTTGTTTTTTTCAGTCACATTAGCACCAATAATTACAACTACAATACCTACACCAATCCCTACAACTGAATCAGGTGAGGGAAATATTTGTTCATGTCAGTGCATACGTAGCAATTTAACATTGTTGATTTGATATAAAAAATGCAATAATATAACTGATATAAAACATGATTTTAAATTGTTGCATACCGTAAAGGGCGGTAGTCGTCGCGCCACGCATGCGCGAGGTATATGGGTCTCATATAAACAAAGATGGCGACTTTGACTGTTGCGCAGATCAATGAGTACAGACTGAGACCTTACCAAGCTTAGATTAGATATTTATTAGGTGATTGGAAGGTATCGAAAGAGTCACCGGCGGTAATTAGTGCAAGTCGTGCCCAGGTCAAACCTCATACTTGTGATTTCCATTAGAAGAGCGCATTGAATTGTGAGAAAATCAATGTTTAACGACATAAATGTTGCACGACTGCCGCCCTTTAAAGCAACTAATCTAAACAAAGCCTGTTATGGCAAGCCGTGGGATTTTGTGGATCTAGGACTGTAAATGCACTGTAGATAGTTGAGATTGAGTCATATTCACTTCAACATGGAAATAATTACAACATTGGCGTGTCCATGGTAGCTACATTATTATTTTGACTAAATAATTATAAATATACATTTGTAAGTTTTGATTGATACACGACTTCAAAAAATACAAATACAATTATTTTTCAGTTCAAATAACAAGTGGTTCAAAATTAGTTGTTGATTCATCGTCGGACGTGGCTATTAGAACTCACATTCCAGAACTGAGAGAGGTAACAGCTTGTTTGTGGATACAAACAAAAGGAACCAACCAGGGGACACCAATATCTTATGCAACCAGTGGGGGCTTTAACGAGTTCATTCTATTCGATACCACTGATTTGAAAGTCTATGTACGGCAGAATAATGGTGACAACAGTGGCATAGCTGTGAATGATAATGATTGGCACCATTTGTGTGTCACGTGGTCATCTGCTGGTGGTTTATGGGATATATTTGACAATGGTGCTTTGGCTGCATCTGGTTCAGATCTTCGGAGTGGTTATGTAATCAGAGAAGGCGGTGTCATGACTCTTGGCCAGGAACAAGACAGATTACGTGGTGGATATGACCCTAACCAGGCATTAAAAGGAGAGCTTGCATACTTCAATATGTGGAGCAGAATTCTTAGTGATGATGAAATAGGGCAACTCGCAGCAGAGTGTAATGGTGAAACAGAAGGTGACCTGTTTGCTTGGAGTTTGGCTGATCTTGATCTAGATGGAAGTTATGAGACTCTTCCAGCTGATATATGTAGTAAGTTACGATACTATTATTGTCTCTCTTTTGCAAATGCTAGTTATAGATGTTTCAGATTATAGAAAGAATATAGCTCAATAGTATGTAGCAATTGTTCCTTGTTTACAGACAATACTTCACAGAATTAGTTCACAGACAAATGTGGACAATTTCACATTAGAACTATTAATCACACCATACTTGTTATACAAAAGTATTGCTGTTTAATATAAACACTAATAAGGACAATCAATGGTACAATGGGCTATATATTCAGTGTATTCCATCAACGTTTTCAATTTACAAACCTCATCACCACCAACAGTATGCGCATCACATGTTATAATACCCTTTGAATGAAATTTTTCTTAAAATCCAATAAATTTACAGTACAATGGACTGGTACTGAGAAGTTAATTGTTGATACATCATCAGACGTGGCTATTATAACTCCCATTCCCGAACTGAGAGAGTTAACAGCTTGTTTATGGATAAAAACAAAAGAAACCAACCAGGGCACGCCAATATCCTATGCAACCAGTGGGGGCTTTAATGAGTTCATTCTATTCGATACCACTGATTTGAAAGTCTATGTACGACAGAATAATGGTGACAACAGTGGCATAGCTGTGAATGATAATGATTGGCACCATTTGTGTGTCACGTGGTCATCTACTGGTGGTTTATGGGATATATTTGACAATGGTGTTTTGGCTGCATCTGGTTCAGATCTTCGGAGTGGTTATGTAATCAGAGAAGGCGGTGTCATGACTCTTGGCCAGGAACAAGACAGCATACGTGGTGGATATGATCCTAACCAGGCATTAAAAGGAGAGCTTGCATACTTCAATATGTGGAGCAGAATTCTGACTGATAATGAAATAGGAAAACTCGCAGCAGAGTGCAATGGTGAAACAGAAGGTGATTTGTTTGCGTGGAGTTCGGGTGATATTGATCTAGATGGAAGTTATGAAACTCTTCCAGCTGATATATGTCGTAAGTTATACTATTGCTGCCTTTCTTTTCCAAATTCTACTTATTGATATCCCAGCAGCTATAAAAATATAGCACCATATGTCGATTTAAATGTGTCTTGTTTACAAACATTACCTCACAGAATAAATCCACAAACAAATCTGAGCAATTTCGAGTTAGGCCTATTGATCACGTCGTACTTGCAATACAAAGGTATTCATGTTTGATACAAACAATAATAGAAGCACCCGATAGTTTATATAACCAGTGCACTCAATCCACTATTTCAATTTACACATGCAATCTCCCACCAATAGTATATGTATAACATATTGGAATAAAATGTTTCTTGAAATCCAATTGATTTACAGTACAATGGACTGGTACTGAGAAGTTAATTGTTGATTCATCGTCTGACGTGGCTATTAGAACTCCCATTCCCGAACTGAGTGAGTTAACAGCTTGTTTATGGATAAAAACAAAAGAAACCAACCAGGGGACACCAATATCCTATGCAACCAGTGGGGGCTTTAATGAGTTCATTCTATTCGATACCACTGATTTGAAAGTCTATGTACGGCAGAATAATGGTGACAACAGTGGTATAGCTGTGAATGATAATGATTGGCACCATTTGTGTGTCACGTGGTCATCTGCTGGTGGTCTATGGGATATATTTGACAATGGTGTTTTGGCTGCATCCGGTTCAGGTCTTCGGAATGATTATGTAATTAGAGGAGGCGGTGTCATGACTCTTGGCCAGGAACAAGACAGCTTACGCGGAACATATGACCCTAACCAGGCATTGAAAGGAGAAATTGCATACTTCAATATGTGGAGCAGAATTCTGACTGATGTTGAGATAGGACAACTCGCAGCAGAGTGTGATGGTGAAACAGAAGGTGACCTGTTTGCTTGGAGTTCAGCCGATATTGATCTCGATGGCACTCTTGAAAAATTGCCATCTGATGTATGTCATTAGTAATGATACTGACATCACAATTTGGTATGTGATTATTTGGTATTTATCAGTGTTTGCACTTAGACCGCTTTATGTGGTTATATGTAGGACTTTTTTTGTTGGATAATGTAAAAAGTCATCTTTCTGTAACACTAACATCCACAGCACTGGCCACGTCTGTGGCACCAAGCACCAATTTTTTAGAGTTTTAGGATTGTCTGTAGTAAATTACAATATAACGTACAATATAATTGAGCTGTCACAGAACATCATAGAACTTTACTTCAATAACAAAGCTCTGTGATTCATTAGTAGATTAATATGAGCAATGTAACTTGTATGAAAGTGTTCAAATATTACTTATTATTATTCCCTACTTATTACTGAAATTATATGCCATCACTGCATCTATATACTTTTTTTTGAATTATTCGTAATAATTAATAAATCCGTAACACTAATAAATGACACTAACGTATTGCAGCACTAAATAATGTCTGAGTGTCTTTATGGGAATTGAATGAACTTGGACGAAATGTATGGACATCGAATGGTTGTGTATGAGGTCATGCTAATGTAAGACTTGCATGTTTACCTATGTCAAAGAGAATTTGAGTTTTCTTGAGAGTAGAGCTGTGAGACCATTTTTATTGAATCTTTCAAAATATGTTGATCTCAATCTGGAAATCATTAGCAGAAAACTAACAAATTTAATGAGCGAATGTTAATTTATTTTATGGAGGGTTTGCCTCTGGGAAATCATTACCATCGAAAGACAAAGGAAACCGACAGTGTTGTATGAGATTCAAAGTGTGATTAAAACCAGGTGAGTGTGTTTACGTTTGTTCACAAATCATGTAAAATGAGTTCATTTTGAAAAACTATGTTTTTAGTATAGTAAAATACTGTAGTCAATATCTGCATGTATACTTCATAAATTTAATAATAACATTGGCTTAAGCCTTTGTTGCCTCTCTGAGGAATGGAGTCATTATCTAATAATAATGTCATTTCCAAGGATCATCAGTATTGTAGTCATGAATAGAAGCTCGATGGCAGACAACAAATAGGGATATTGCTGGATCGACCATTTATTTTATCACTTTGAACCGTAGCTCGTGCAAAGTTTGATCGAATACGTGATTATTCATTTAATGTAACAACATTCAGGACGTTAATCAATTACACGCATTATTATATGCATTGTAAATAGATATGTGGTTGTACCCAGTCCGTATTAATAAAAAAAAAGTAAGGTATTACAAATAGGTAACTTTTTCAGTTTTTGGATATATAATATAGCAAATATATAATATATATATATATATATACTTTGAATTTAATCTTTAATTAACTAAATGTGCATTCCATTGAAAGTGTCATATGTTACAACATGTCTTCTCCGAAAATGTATTTCAGCAAAGAATGAACACAAATGTACAATGTTAAGAGTCTAGTGAATAGAAATTTAGATAGAATCAATTACACTGAACATATTTAATTGACACAATTCGCTGAATGTGGTTGCCATGAGACGTATTCAACGTATGAAATTTGACGTGATTGGTGTTCTTCACGATGATTCAAATAATACCCTAACTTATTCAGTGTGTCTATCGGCTCAAAAGTAGATGTTGACCATCTGTCGTAGCCTTGCACTATGAAAATAATATTATGTCACGTGTTTTATGTATTGAACATCCCTATGAAAACATTAACACCTCACCAGGCCCAAGTATTTCCCTCCATATGGGAATACTAGTTTCTATAGTAATAATGTCACATGTGTTGACCATCCTTGTGGAGATAATATCGACGGGGAAATGAAAATATTCATCTGGCCCACGTATTGGACGTTACTATGCAGCAAATTCCGTGTAGTTGAACAGTAATGGACGACTCGTCAACACATAATGGCGAAAGCTCACGTTGTGCGACATATATGTAGAACAAAGTGTGCATTGTCAATACCAGTAGAAAAGCAGAAAACGCAAATATGCAAATTTACAAGCCCGAATCCGGCCGGTAATGTGAGGGCGCTTGAACTGATGGCAAGTCTGTTGGGATTTTGCGGTCACATGACATGCGTTCTCCCCTCGTTTACGCAATTTATATTAATTTTTCAAGAATTTTTCATCGGAATCGCAACAGACTGCAAGCAAGTCTACATAAAAAGCAGAAGACGACGCTCTCACAAATTTGTCTGATTTTGATATTAAAATCAGTTTTTATTGGCAATGGATCATTTTGTTTGATGTCGATTTTAGTATTAAATATGTATTACCTAACAATTTCTTGTTTTTTAAATAATTTTTTCTTATTCGTTTTTGAAAACAACATTGTATTCATATGCATAGTACGGGGTCTTGATGCTCAATGGCGGGGTACATAATCGCGAATAATCTGCTACAATGACGTCATAAAATCCACTGGTATTCATAATGCTATAATATAATGAACATCAATAGAGAGTTAATACCTCACTTGTCACTCGTTTTGACTATCCATAAAATATAATCCATCCCGTCCCACGTATTGACCATCCCGGTAGAGGTAAATATATCCCCATACAAATCATATTATCGCACAGGTAATATGTATTGACTATTCTCTGTATACATGCGCCAATTGAATGGGTTTGTAAAACATGTTCTGATTTAGATATATTCGTACGATCGGCAGAAACTAGAACTACAGAGTAAGAAGGTAATTTTTTTAGTAAATACAATTTGATATTCCAGTTCAAATTAGATATATTTTCTGTTTCTAATTCCAAACAAAATTGCTATTATACGCAAACACTGTAATGCATAAATACGGACGACATCTTACACATCGACATAAATGCCATTGAACAGGGGTAGCAGCTCAAAATTACCGGCGGGGTAAACATATTTCAATCTCTATATAATATATATTTGTTATCAAATCGCAAAGGATACAATTCATAGATTATAAGTCCAACACATTGAAACGCACAGTATGTATTTATCAAACGTCTTAGCCGCACCATCCACAAATTAATATAATTATATATACGTAGTTACCAAATTATTGTGTAATAATGCTATTATAATTAACAATTCTGAAACTGAGTTTATAAAATAAGTGGATGATTGATTCTTCACTCGCATAAAACATATGTGATGACCCATTTCAAGCAAATGTGAGGTTGAATGTGAGGGAAGGGGAGACTGCAACTACGTGTAACTTTTATGCCTGTGTAATCATTTACCGGCTATTCGCCATTGGGATGTGGGTTGTTTCTGCGTCGCATAAAAGACAAACATGTGATTTCACATGCTCTTCAATAAAACTGTGCAGTGCTCCGCCTGAACAAAGCAGTTAATCCTCCCGGTCCTCACTACCCACAACTTGTGATAATCATGGAAGTTGCGTCAAACCCTGTTTTTTCAAGATGATCGGCGAACGACTAAGATGCTACTGCTACAAGGGCAAGATCCAAATAATGTCGGACAACCGCATGCGGTGTTTTCGAACTCTTCAGAACCTCTAACGTATCGAATGAATGCAGTGATCTGAAGATGAAACCTTTACGTCCCATGCGGCTGGCAAGCATTCTGGTCATCGTCTGGATTCAAGATGACTTCAAATGAATTCAGAACTTTTTTGGCTGATTTTTGGACGGCCTACGTTTTTAACTAATCTTCACTTATCAGACAAAAAATAGGGGCTAGAGAAGATGAACCCCTTAAATGACCAAATATATTGAAACACTGTGATGCTAAATTTCCGAAACAAGCTCTAACTCGGACAGTTATCCCAGTGATTATATCCAATGATGCTCTAAACATGTCATTTTGGTGTGGAAAGTATGACTGAACTAGTGAACACTTCTTGTCATTTCCTAAATGTTGTGTAAATTTTGTACCGCTAGCGATTTCCTAATTTAATTGATCTCGATCTAAGGTTGTGATTTTCAGTGTTATACAGCATGAAGTAAATTTGTTTGGGTGACTGTTTTTTTTGGCATTTCAAGTGTTTAAATAATTGTTGCTTTTTAAAGCTTTGTGAAAATAGCTTAAAATGTACATGAATTACCCAAACAAGTGTTCTAGATACAGCTGACAACATACCTATAATTTCCGTAACTGTATTGTTGCTTCTGACCACAAAAAACCTAAATAGTTGTAGTATGATACAGCTTCGACATGTTTCAATCTTAAATACATTTCTTACTTCGTTCTCCACCGTTTAAAAACAATCAAGTTGGTTTTGCTTAAATTTACATTAAGTTTATACTCATCAGATCATGAACTTCATGAATTAAAACGTCTCCGTAAATCAACAATAGTGTCAGAAAATGTAATGAAGTTAATGCCTCGTTGAGTGCCTGAATGATATTTTTGTGACAAATTGTTAATAAAAAAAGAAAACAAACAAAAGAATATGCATACAACCGTGACGAACACCAGATGGGCATTTAAAATAGTCAACTGCAACTGACAATAGAAGTGCGCACGCATGGCTTGGCATTTTTATAATTGACCGTCTTTTAATGTACGTTGATGTTTCACTGTATCAAAGGCAAAATCAACGAAGGCACAATCGAATTTGTTGCGCTTTTTAGACTTCTCCAATGTATTTTCGAATAATGATTTGAACAATTAAGATACTGACCACTGTAGAAATATCTGCAATGAAATACGGCCTGTGTCTTGTCCGATAACCCACGCCCAGAAACCAGGATGATGGTTGGGAATAGATGCAAACATTTTGCAAAAAATGTCTTTATTACTGTTATTGTAGACCATCTCTGTGGAAAAACTAGAATTAAACATTCTGTTAAAGAGCACAATTAATTAAGGCTAAAAAATTATATTTTATTAACAAATCACCGAGTAATCTATCCGACCCAGGGGTTGTGCTGTATTTAAGATTGCAGACAGTTTTTTTTTCACCTGAAATAGAATTATAATCATTTAATATAATTAAACCACTTGTATAGGATTTATATCACTTGGTACTTACGATGAACGACGCCAGAACTTTTTTGAATC